TCAAGCTGATGGGGTGGTCCTCACCATGCCCGTCATGTATGGACACTGCAAACAGAACACGGGTGGTCTGGATTCCTAGCCCTTCTCCTGGCCAAAGCAGGGCATGTTTGTACCTTGCTGATTCCGTTTCTTGCTTTAGAGTTTGCTCATTTGTCTTTTATGCCCGTTTCTACACTATTGCCAGTGTTGGTCTGCAAGTTCCACAATGGGCGGCGTGTTCGTTTTATTCTTTCTGCACCAGGGAGCACCGATGGGCCGAGGACAGGTCATTTTGCAGGGGAGCAGGCAGTGCTGACCCGACCCACCCGTCACTGAGACTGAGCTCTCCTGGGTGTGTTTTGCACCCAGGGCACTGGGCTTGCCTGGTGGTGGCCCTGGTCCCTCCCCACTGCTCCCAGCAAGGAGATGCTCCTCTGGGACAGAGTCTAGGAACTACAGCAGTAGCAAATGGGGGGACATTGCCTGAGGGACAGGCAGCCATGAAGACCTTTGCGCCCGCCCGAAGGAGCACCTAATTCTGTCTCGAATCCTAGGTCTGTTTGGGTTCCAAAATAATTTTGGACCAAAGCTTAGGTATGTGAGATTAGCTGCGTTCACCTAGGCTGCTCATCCCTATGACACGGTCATCGCACCAAGGGCCTCCTCCCCGCCCCTTGGCCAATTTTCTTTCTCTCTCATCCACTCAGCTCCCTGTTGCTGCTCTCACACCCTTTTGCTCTCTTGTCGCCTCCCTGACACTTGCCAGTCCAGCCTCAGGAACCCTCAGTCCAACATTTCATCACCCTCTACCTTTTTTTTTTTTTTTTTTTTTTGCGGTACGCGGGCCTCTCACTGCTGTGGTCTCTCCCGTTGCGGAGCACAGGCTCCGGACGTGCAGGCTCAGCAGGCTCAGCGGCCATGGCTCACGGGCCCAGCCACTCCGCGGCATGTGGGATCTTCCCGGACCGGGGCACGAACCCGTGTCCCCTGCATCGGCAGGCGGACTCTCAACCACTGAGCCACCAGGGAAGCCCACCCTCTACCATTTTTAAAGGACATTTAAAAACGAAAACTACAAGTTTTCGACTCAAAGTTATGGTCTCCGAGCTCAGCTGGACTCAGAGCTTCCCAGCAACGCTTTTACCGGTTTGGGGTCATCTCTCCTCCATGACCCTCACCATCTGCTTCTCCCCCGCCTCACTTCAAGCTTCCTTTAAATATTCCCACCTCTGATTTTCACACCTGCTTTTCTTCCCATTTCATAGAAAAAAAGAGGAGCCTATCAGGAATGATCTTCCCCACGTGCCACTGGCTGCTTACACATGTCTCTACACCTCTCCCCAGCTCTGAACAGGAGGTATTAGGCTCCTGCAGTGCGGGGCTCATTCATCCAACGCTGCCTGCCTCCCTGTCCACCCGGCTCTTTCTGTGTCTTCCAAGAATCATAACTTTCTTTTCCTATGTCTTAGCGTCTCTCTCACTCTCTGTTGCTTGCTCCCCTTGGCTTGTAAATGTGCAAAATTCCTTCTCCGTCTCTCGCAACGACGCTCGCCTCTTCACCACCATCAGAGTTCACTTGCTCTTCTCACCCATATACTCCCTGGGCAGTTTTCATCTGGTGTTTCCATTTCCTCTCCTGACAGGTACTCCAGACCCAGTCCAAACCATGTCTGGTTGGGACTGGTTATCCCATCCAGGAGCACCAAAGAAAGACTTGCTCTACAGACGGCAACTGAGGCTCAGGTCTGTCATCCATTAGTAAACGGTGAAGCTGGAATTCAGATGAAGGTTTTATGTATTCGACTGTCTGTGCTTTCTCACGACTTGATGCTGACGGACAGGAGCCCACTGTGGGCACCTAAGATGCCTCCCTGGAGGTCGTCTAGGAAGGCAGGCATTTGGGGGTGAGTGGGTGGTGGTTGGGAGGGCAGTTGAGAAGCTAGAGGCAAGGAGACTAGTTAGAATGGCTTTCTGCTTATGGTGATTCTTGCTCATGCCTCTCCATTGCTCACTCCCTGCTCCCCTCAAACACACAGTCACACACCTACAGAGACCCACACGTGGCACGTTCAGAAGAACATGTCATATACACTCAGTGATTATTCACCAAATGAATGAAAGCCCAGGCAGGAGAAGAGGTCAATGTCACAATACTTGATCCCGGCTTGAGAGTGGGGAGGAAGCTGTGTCCTGGCTCCGTCGTCACCCCTTTGGGCAGGAAGGAGGCCATTCTTGAGGCCTCACCAGGGACTGCTGAGACCCCAGGTGAGCTGGGCAAGGAGGGCGTGTCTCTGAGAGGCGGCACACCTGTGTGCAGGGGCAGGTGGGTCTGGCCTGGGGTGCAGCCCAGCTCTGCTAGGCACTGCTGTCACCTAGCAACTTCTCACCTGGAAAAGGGGGCGATAGGGGTGTCCACCTCATGGGGTCGCTGGGAGATTTCAGTGAGCTCCTGCGGCACAGCGCCTAGGACATTGGGGCTGCAGGAGCTTAGATGCTGCTGTTGTTTGATGATGATGATGATTGATCATGGCGACCAAGACCTCATAATCCTGCTGTCAACTTAGTGCACCCAGTAGGCAGTGCCTGAGCACCTAGTGCATGCCAGGAACCATGCCGGGCGGGGCGAGTATGGGGATGAACTAGACTAGAGAAGGGGGAGACCCGAGGCTCGCTGTGACGGCCCCCGCACTCTGGGGCCTGAGTGGGCTGCCCTTCCTAATGAGTGGACACCTTCGGTCTGGCAAGAACCTTTGAGGAGGGACCCCTCCAGGATCTGAGGGACCCCTGTTTCCTTCTCCTTCTCAGAAAGAGGACTGCAGGCAGCTTTTGAGCCTGTGTGCCCCAGGAAGCAGGGTTATGAGAAAGCCACCGAGTGAGGACCCAGGAGGGATCACGTTACCTGCCTTGGAGCTCCTGCTTGGTAACAGGAGCTTGTGAGGCCATCCCCTTCCTCTGTGGAGCTTGTGGGAGCGGGTGACTCCAGGCTTTTTGGGGTATCCCCCGGGCTCAGCTCGGGTCAGCACTCCAGAAGGTTTAGGCCAC